AGGCTGTTCACTGAAGAAACAAGGAACTCCGTGAATTCACTGTGAAAAGGGGGGATTAATATAATGGAATGAATCCCTTTATTAATTTAAGCTCCTATATCAGTGTTCTGCGCCTTTTATACTGTTCCGGCTTTTGCTGCTTGCTAACCATATCTCAATGTGAAGCTTTGAAACATCAGAAGGGATGTCCATAACCTCAATAGCATTACTCTCTGCTGGTATGAGTGGAATGTTGGCCCTGCACAGGGAAACCACAACTCTCCTTGTTAACTCCTACTGATAAAGCAGTGCATGAAAGCCATGGATACATCTCGGACGTAAATGCATTTGGTTTGTTTGAACTGGAAACTATCACAGCTCATTGACCTTTTATTAGTTTACCAACAAAAATGTAAATGGCGGAATTTGTGAGCCAATGCATGGCAGAATTGGTACACCCTGGTGCAAAATGTAATGTAGAAACTTTTCTTTGCATTCTCTTGTGTTGTCTAAAGGAAATAAATAAATAAAACTAACTTCTGTTTAGTTTTTTTGCCAGCTGGCTTTCAGAGCACCTCCATATTTAAATGTGAACTGTAGATGTGTAACTAAAATGTAAAATTCTTGGCAAAAATAGCAAGAAATGTAAGAAAATATATTCCAGATTGGTGATAAATGCTATGTAAAGTCATATACATTCTATGTATAGTGGGTTAGTATTTGGTTGACACTGATTATTTACAGGGATATATACATACAATTCAGCTTCCACTGAAATCACTGTGAGACGACCTTTACTTAATGATCAGGTATTGACAAGATTTGTTCAAGTAATGTAGAGAAAAAGTACAAGTAATTTGTTCAAGTAATGTACAGAAAAAGTACAAAGTAATTTGTTCAAGTAATGTACAGAAAAACCAGAAAAAGTACATCCACTGCCTTCCCTTCATCCAGTAGGCAGGTGACCTTATCATAGAAGGATATCAACTGGTTAAATCAATAATATCAAATATAGTTAAATAGGACTTTCACTTTGTGAATCCATGTTGACTGTGCCCGATGATTGCATTATTCTTTAAATGCCTTTCAATAGTACCCAGAACAACAGTAAGGTTCATGCCGATGGCTGGTCCATGGCACACACAGTGTATGCATGGCAGGTGATTGCTGGAGGACCTTGAGCCCACACTGCAGGTAAGGTGCTCTGGGTGGTGGCCCTCTGTGTTTCTTCAACCTTGATTCCCTCTGGTGGGAAACTGCTCTGAACACCAGTGATGTGCTTCGTTGTATATCACACCTCTAAGTATAAAAGGAAGGCAAACACATATAAAAGCAACCTCCTCTGGTACATTAAGTCACAGAAGCACAGACTGCATTTTTGTGTTCCTCAATCATTCCATTATCAGCCTTACAAGCGTGTCTATATATGTGATATAGTCCACACATTTTCCAAGATACATCAGTGATGATATTATAATATATGCCTTATAAATAAATGGTATCATCCAAAACCAACATCTACACACCTAGTTATGTTCCTAGTGCATAGTAATCTGTTTGCCTTTTCCAGAGCTTCTAAAATTAGTACTAATAAGTCATGCTTCTAAAGTCATATTTTTGCTTCAATGCAAGATCATTCCACTATGTCCAGTAAGACTGGGTGCTGCTAGGTGGTAAGTACCGTTGAAAAGCAGTCCATTGATTTCTTTCTATTCATACATGAAAATAAGATAGGTTTTTTTGCAAATTGTAGAATTTATTGCACTTCAGTGATTGTCCCAAAATCATGTAGAATATATTATGATAACTAAGTAGTGGAAAGATCTTTGAGTTCAAAAGATAAATGGACCTGTTTGTTGGAGCTTAAGAAACAGGCGGTGTGATTTGAATGGCAATACTCAATAATTTATGACTTTGTAAGGTGATTTTATTTCAGAGTTCAAGCTCTCTTATTGTATGCCAAAAGTCTTTCAAAATCATTATGTGTTCATAAGTCTCTTAAATATCTGGATATTGCCAGGGGGAGGGGGGTGTCGATTTGCAGAAAAGATAAATCATCTCTTTTTTATTATTATTATTATGCCACAGTTTAATACAAAATATATAAGGCAACTCAGACATTATATCTGCAGGGTTTAGGTTTAATAAAAGTAGTATACAAAAAGATTTAGCTATTCTAACATGCATAGAAAGAAATCTATAGGCAAGGGACAATCTGTAATGTAATAAGTAATTGACTTATTATGGAATGATTAATGTCTCAAGTGTATGTGGAGTGCAGATAGCAGATATTCCAGAGCACAGCACACACTGTACCCTGGACTGTAAAATAGCAAAAGCCTTTAGGTCAGAAAGAGCTAGCACGAGATAGGCACAAATGTTTCAAACACTGTTATGAACGGGGGAGGACAACCATTCTGGATTTAAGCTTGCTGTAATAGTAGCCCCCATGCTTAGTGGAAACTAATGCCTCTCATGTGACGAGGGGTAACCTTGAAGATGCTGACACATGCCAGGCGACTAGATGCAGAATGTAAAATGTCCCCTACCAACTCCTCTGCATGGTGTGACGTTGGTACCCTTTACTGAATTTCAGTGATATATTTTGTGTTGTCATTTCTCAAATCCATGCATTTTTCCCTTCTAAAATCTACCTCAGAATGACTAAATTAAGGATACACAATTAGTTTTTCTACCAAATGTGAAATGAAATATTGATATCACAAAATAGAAATGCTCATCAAATTCACTTTATCTTTTAATAATTTTTGTCATTTTTTAGCAAAAAAGCAAGACGAGAGGTAAAGCTTTCTCTGATGAACTCATCTGGTGGATAGCTAAGGCACTTTTAAAAGAATAATTGAGTGAAATGCTATTTAAAATTATTAAGAGTATAAGCAATAGTGTTAAAATAGCTGCTCAACTCCAAAGACAGCAAATAAAATTCCTAGTATGTCAGCTACAAACTTGGTGGTGGTCGGGAGGAGGGGGGGGTTAGAAAGACATTTCTTGGCTTCCTTGTAGAGATAGTCCTTATCATGTAAACCATTATTCGAGACTTTGACCTTAAGCCTTCACCGCAATTTTATTTCAGGACAATTGAAAGTAGTCCAATAAGCTTTCTGTAAAATAAAACATTTTTAGATGGTAATCAGCAGTAGCTGAAAATTAAGCCATTCCCAGACTGTGTAATGAAAGGCTGTGGTAAGTTGTCCACATCTGGTCCTTGGAACCATTTAAACTGCTCACCATGAACCTTAATAATACAAGGGCATGGGGCAGTCTGCAAATAAAATTAAAAGGTTAAAACCAGACGTATCTGATCCTAAAAGTTTGGGACCACTGTTCTCAGATTCTTCTCGCTAATTTTTTTATTTCCCCAGATGCTAGTTTGAGAGCACAAAATGTAAGCACTTACCCTCATATTTCAGGTCAATTTAGCTTTCTCTCTCCTCTTCCATGGAAGTTGCTGACTCTGTTAACCTACTCCTGAGGCCCCCCTGAAGTGACCTCATGTATGAAACATATGTACTTTGAAATACGTTAACGTATGGTTAACGTCCTGGTTTTGGTTGGGATAGAGTTAATTTTCTTCTAGTAGCTGGTATAGTGCTGTGTTTTGGATTTAGGGTGAGAATAATGTTGGTAACACAATGTTTTAGTTGTTGCTAAGCAGTGCTTACACTAGTCAAGGACTTTTCAGCTTCCCATGCCCTGCCGGGGAAAAGCTGGGAGGGGACACAGCCAGGACAGCTGACCCAGACTCGCGAAAGGGCTGTTCCATACCACATGATGTCATGCTCAGTATATAAAGTGGAGGGAGTTGGCCGGGGGGCAGTGACCACTGCTCGGGAACAGGCTGGGCATCGGTTGGCAGGTGGTGAGCAATTGCATTGTGCATTGCTTATTTTGTATGTTCTTTTATCATTATCCCTTCCTTTTTTGTCTTTATCTCAACCCAGGAATTTTACTTTTTTTTCCCAATTCTCTACCCCATCCCACTGCGGGGGTGGAGACCGAGTGAACAGCTGTGTGCTGTTTAGCTGCCTGCCAGGTTAAACCACAACAGTCCTTTTGGCACCCAACATGGGGCACGAAGGGCTGGGATAACAACAGATCTGACCAGAGCACGTTAAGGCAAATTTGTTATAAGCATTCATTGTATTGGTTTAATAGTCACTGGTCACAATGTTGATTTATTTGCTGTCAAAGTTGTCGTGCTTGCTCGCAAAGTTGTGTTATGCAACACCTTACTTGCAGTGTATGTTCCCTGTTGTGCTGTTTATCACTGCTGGGAGCTGGGTCAAGGTTATCATTTTGCTGCACTGTGTAACACTGGGTTATGATAAGATAAAATTATTGGTTGTGAGACTAATCTGGTATTTG